CCTTCTCCTCCTCCTCCTCCTCCTCCTCCTCCGCCTCTTCCTCCTCCCTGGTGGCGTATTGGAAGTGTCTTCGAACGTTTTGGTGGGCTCTTGGGCCTTGCGGGCGGGCGGGCGGCGCTCCGCCCGCCCGCGCGCAGAGCCCAAGAGGGGGTCCAAGCCGTCTTTTGGAACAATTTTGGAGGAGATCGATCAACGAAGGGGGGGTCCCTAATTACAGCCCCCCCCTCAGGAGCCATGATCCTCGTGAGGGGTGTCGAATTTTAGCCTTCCCAGGAGTCGATCTTGGACGCTCTAACTACCCGCGGCCCCCCCTGTCCAGGTCAGTGGGGAGGGGGTAGGGGGAGGGGTAAACCCCTCCCCGAAGGGGAAGAAGGAGGGGTGGAAGAGGAAACGCTCTAAACCACCGACGCCCAGAGGGCTGGTGGGATTAGTGAAAGGCATCGCTGAACATATCGCGGGTCTAAGGAACTACGTTGGGCGTTCAATCGAGTAACTTTCACGGGACTTTCTGTGCCATCATTTGTTTGGCCAGGTTAGGCTTTTGTTGCTATCCGCTGAGATCACAGCTTCCAAGTTATTATCCAGCATGTTTGATGGGTACGTTCTGCTGCCGACGAGAGGCACATATATGTATGTATGTAAATATTCATATATATATATGTATCGGTGGATGGCCAACTCCTTTCATCATGCTCGACTGGACTTCCCCCAGTCCCGTTGTCAACGATGGTGATGACCACCTCCGTCTTGTTGAAGTTCTACTTGACGCCGGTTCTGATGAGGGAGCCGTTGGTGGCCCTCCTGACGCCCTCCTCGAGTGTCTCGGGCCTTCGTGCCACGTAGTGAAAGGTAGCGTCGTCTGCAAACGATGTAGTCTCCACTTCGCATTGCGTAGCCATGCTGTCCTTAAGTGTGGGGGAGAACCGCGGGACACCCACGTGAACTCGGCGATGGTGCTGTCCGATGCAATGGCAAGCCCGATGTTGAAGATAAAATCCGCTAGCCCGTTGCCCGGGCGGGTCCCAAGTCGAGTAGCTGCGAAGCTGCTACAGTGCTGGGCAAACAAGCACGTATAACGATGTGCTTCACAGACCTGAGCTGCCAACAAATGTAAGATGCCCTCCTGCTCGAACATGGGCGATTGCTCCCGAACCTTCTCCGCAAAAAAAACATGTACCACACAGGTATGTCCAGATCCCCATAGATGTCCTCTAGTTTTTTTTTGCCGCTGCGCAGTTTCATTAGATGGTGGCCAGGCGAGTGACGAGGGAACACGGGCTCGTCTTCGCCGACATCGGCGCTTTAATTCACCCGCGTAAGGTCGCGCGTGAGCGCCCACGTAAGGTCGCTGTGCCATCTCGCGCAAGGCTCGCTTCTGCTCGTCGCTCAGGTGGCGGACGACAGCGTAGAAGGCTGATCTGGCGTTAAGTGCGGCACAGAAGCAGGCGCACCTCGAAGCTGGCAGACATGAACGAACGTTTTCACCGTGCGCGTGCCGCCATCGCCGTGCCGCGCCGGGGGCCCAGGGAGCCCACCAGATTATTGGACGGCATGGAGTGATTCCGAGTGCGTCTTGATGATCATTGATGCATCCCCCTCTTCCTCCCTCTGGTCCTCCAGCGGGGATCACCTTGGCCCCTCCCAGTGCCTTCCTGGAAGTTCCCCAGCTTCGGCTGGTCGCCGAGTTTCAAACTGTGTGGGTTCAGCGATCTTTCGTCTCCGTATTTTGAAGCTGTTCCGATGCTTCGCTACATACTCGCTCGCCGAGCCCTTGCCCCCGCGGGAAGACAGCTGAAGTCGAGAACTCTGCGCGCCTCCATACCGCGCTATTGTTGTTGTTATTATTATTATTGTTATTATTATTTTCCACCGGGGATCGGCCTAAACGGTGTTTGGGCGACGTCTCGATCTCGTTTTGCAGCCTAGAGGTGGATCGCAGACAACACCTCGGGCAGCCGAGGGGCACCCGCCCAGGGCACCTTTCGTTTGTGAAGTCGGACATGCCACCTACAGGGGGAATATTCAATAATGGTCGAGGATTAGTCTGATGACGATGTTTCGTTCCTTATTAATATTTCGGATTGTTGTTTGACTATGTTTTATGTTTCTTCTACCATCCGCTTGCAGGGGGATATGCCCGACCTGACTCCAGCTAGGGAGCTACAGGATGAGGCAATCACCAAGCAGCATGCTCCCTCGAGGCAAGCGCAGCTCGGATAGAAAGCAGCGACAAACCTCACCACTCCTCCCTCCCCCCCTGCTCCTTCGCCTCGCCCTCACTCTTCCTCTACCCTCTACCCTCTACCCTGCCTCCTTCTCCCCCTCCTCCTCCTCCTCCTCCTCCTCGTCCTCCTCCTCCTCCTCCTCCTCCTCCTCCTCCTCCTCCTCCTCCTCCTCCTCCTCCTTCCTCTCGGAGGAGTATCTCCTGAGGTTCAAGAAGGGAAAGCATGGGGCGCTGTCTCGGGCACCCTGACGCTTCCTTGCTGCTTGATTCCTGCGCAGAGCCCATGACGCCCGATCTGAACAAGTACCGAACTGAGTTCAAACCCGCGTCTAGGGAGGCCCAGCACTTTGTGGGCCTACTCCGCACCGCGAAGATGCTTGATAATACAAAAGGGCGCCTGGTCATCTCTGTCCGTGCGCAGATGATCAAGAAGCTCCCCGCGATGGCCGTCGAGGCACGCGAGAGCAAGAGTGCGTTCGCTCGTCCACGTCCTGCTGGGCACCTGGAGCTCGAGGGCCGAGGGTGATCGAGGCGTCCGAGCGAGTGCACAATCCGGGTGGCAGAGGTCCTACAGTGCAGTTTTTAATACATGCTCCGCGTGCGGATCATGTATTAAAAATGCAGGGATTTAGTATTTAAAACAACGATGAGTTCATGCATACATTTATTCATACATTAGTCATGTTAAAAAAACGATATTACAAAACATCCCATGTATTAACAACTGCCCTGTAAGTTCTTCATGCCCTCCTGGAGGGTGGCCGCAGCTTTGGGCCCACGTCGGTCCTGCTCGGTGGCCTGCCGGTTCCTTTTCCGGGCCCCGAAGGGGGCCGCGTTCGAATCCTCTGCCGCTCCATTCGGTAGATTTTCTTGCCAGTTGCCGCATCGCCGTCGTCAAGGGTTCCTCCTGCTTGGCGTGTCGTCTCGTCCCTCCTTGCCCTCGCGCTCGCCCTCGCCGCTTCTTCTCAGCCACGCGCAGAGGGGGGTGGGTGATGGGGGAGGGCTTCTTAGAAGCACCCCTGCTTCTAAGAAGCCCTCCCCCCTCCATCCACTCCCTTGTGCGCGCCGCCAATCCCCCACTCGCCCGCCCTCTTCCGCGTTGCTGCTATTAAGTCGGGCGTGTCCCTCTACAGGGGGAATATTCAAAAATACGAAAAATAGTCGGGGGACGTTTTTTGTGGTTGTTCTTAGTTTTTTAAGTTTGAGTATTTTTGGAGCATTTTTTGGTGTCTATTTTTAATTGCTCGTCCAAAATCCAAAATCCTTAGGGGGACATGCCCGACCTAATGCTGCTGCTTGCTGGTGGACAGAGGTCCCGTGTCGACTTAGTCTCGCCTTTCTGCGATCCGTCCGTCCGCTGGAGCAAAGAGTGTGAAGAGGAGCCACTGGCGACGATGACGCCGACCTCGGCGATGGCAACTCGGCGACGACGAAGCTTCGGCGACGATGACGACGGCGACGACGACACTGACGACGACACCGACGACAACGTCGATAGGGTCCATTTCGCTCCGATCGATCCGATTCGATGTCGGCTCTGTCCGTCCCGATTCGATTCGATTCGATTCAGATGTTCCGACGATCCGATGTGGCCCCATGCTTGCTTGCATCGCGCTGTTGCGCACCTTGGCGCAGCCGATCCGATTCCGATCTCGATTCCGTGCCGATTCGGACGTTTCGATGCACATATCGACTTAACCCGATGTCCAACTCGATGGCGGTGGATCCTGCGTCACGTAGTGAGGGGGGCTATAAAATCAAGCAGTGACGAAGCGTCCTGGCTTGCCTATAGGCCCACCAAAGGATGTTCAAATAACCTGTTGTGTTTTGCACGGCATGTTCTCAGAACAAATATGGCTGAGACTGTTTCGCTTTACCACATCGGCTTTATGTATTACGAACATGTTTTAACATGTTTTGTTCAATGAACCTGTCGTGGTAGGCCTATAGGGATGCATGGACGGTTGTTCCCTGCTGAATAAATGGGGGGCAGCAAGGGCTGCAGAAAAGGGGCCCTTTCAGGGCCCCTCAGGGCGCCCAAAGGAGGGCCCTGCATGGCGCCCATGGAAGGCCTTTCAGAGGCCAAGAAGTGCACCTTCCTCCCCCCCAATTCATCGCACCCCCGACGTCATGATTTTAATGACGTGGGCCCCCAGCGGTCTGGACCCATTCCCCGGGACCGGTTTTTAGTCTTGTGCCGTGCGTCGACGGTCCCGATGGACGGCGAGGGCCCCCAGAGGCAGAAAAAACAGAAAACACATTCCCGTCGTGATTTTTTGGTCACGACCCGAGTGGGGTTGGGGTTTACTGCACCCCACGCGACGCCCAACCTGCCACGACGACGACGACGACCACGACGACGACGACGACGACGACGACGACGGCGACGACGACGACGACGACGACGACGGCGACGACGACGACGACGACGACGACGACGACGACGACGACGGCGACGACGACCTGTCGCGAGCACGACCACGGCGGCGCCGGCGGCAGCGACGGCGACCCGCGGGGCGCGACGAGTGCGGGGTGCGCGCGCGCGGGGAGCCGGCCCGCAGGGGCCTCGGGCGCCGCGGCAATGCTGGCGGCCGTGTGCGGCTTGGTCGCGTGGGCCGCTCCCGCGCCGCGCCGCCGCCGCTCCGAGGGCAGATCTGCCCAGATCCTCTCCTCCTCCTCCTCCTCCTCCTCCTCCTCCTCCTCCTCCTCCTCTTCCTCCTCCTTCCCCTCCTCCTCCTCCTCTTCCTCCTCCTCCTTCCCTCCTTCCCTCCTCCTCCTCCTCCTCCTCCTTCCTCCTCCTGCTCCTCTCCCTCCTTTCCTCTCCTCCTGCTTCGTCCTCCTTTCCTCTCGGAGGTGGAGCCTCCTGAGGTTTGCAAGAAGGGAAAAGTCATGGGGCGATGTCTCGGCACCCTTGAACGCTTCTTGCTGCTTTATTCCTGCTCCTCCTTCTGTCTCCTCCTCTTTCTCTCCTCCTCCTCCCTGCCTCTTCGTCTCCTCCTCCTCCTCCTCCTCCTCCTCCTCCTCCTCCTCCTCCTCCCCCTCCTCCTCCTCCTCGGAGCAGCGTCCTGGAGGATAGGGGCCATGGAAGCTTTTTTTGCCGCCTAGTTAGGAGAGGGCAGCATTGGGATAGAATTGCGACGGGAGGGTGTTCGCAATTTTCGGTCACTGGGGGTCCTTACCTGCCCTCGGCAGCCACCGTGAAAGCACGACTCGGTGCGAAAAAGCTGGTCCTGGTGAACGGGTCGAGATCTCTAAGGGTCGACGTTGAAACAGTTGATGACGTCGGAGTTCTGGGTGGGGGGGACAGAGGGGGCTATGGGCGCGTGTTGTCGGGTGGGGTCCCCGTTCGAACGGGAGTCTCCCCCAGGGTCCGACAGCCCGCACCCGTACCCATAGCCAGTCCTCCTCCATCCGACCCTCCTGTGGTTACGGGTGTGTGTTGTTCGTTCGTCAATATCTCGCTGGGAAAGATCTGAAAGAGCCCCAAGTCTGCTTGTGAATGTCGTTTCAGAGTGTGTTGCGAAGTTCGAGCGGATTTATGTTAGCCGAGACATGACAAGTTCCCACATCCACGTGAAAGTCACTGCGCTTTTCGCTCGCCGTTTTGGCGTGCTCCATTTGCAAAGTCCACGTGGATTCTCATTGTAGCCCGTCTGCAAGACCATTACCATGACCAGGCGAAGGATCGAAGAGGGATCGAGGAGATGGCCCTGTGCCGTCTGTTTATGAGACAGGTTGAACTCTGGGTAGCTCAATACTTTTGACCCCCACGGGGGGTCCATCGGCCAGCAACTGATCCCATATTGATGTCTTGCCCAGGGATTTCCGAACATAACTAGTAAACAGGATAGATGAAGAGGAGGAGGAGGAGGAGGAGGAGGAGGAGGCCGAGGAGGAGGAGTCGGAGGAGGCGGAGCAAGAGGAGGATGGTTTTTGCTTGACTTGTTTTTGTTGGTGCGTTTTGCTGTTTGCTCCCCGCCCTTGCGGAGGGGCACCCACTTGAGGGGAAGACGGAAACGGGCCGGGTCCAGTTCTGTCTTTTGGTCATGGGTTTCCAGCTGTACTTCTCTCGTTGGGCCGCGCAGAACTTGAAAAGTGGCAGTGCGAAGCCTCTGTATCGCGCCGCCGGTTCTGGCCACCGCGCTTCGGCGCGATGTGCCACCCACGTCCCCATGCCCAAGCTTCAGTGCCCCGAGCTGCTGCCCGCCTCTGTCCTCGCGGAGCGGAGCTAGTTTTAGGTCGGGCCTGTCCCCCTACAGGGGGATTTTCGCCAAAAAATTAAAAATACCCCCAAAATACCCCAAGAAGGTCAAAACATACACCAAGAATAGTCCCCAGACTATTTTTGGATTTATTTTTTGTTTGGGGGGGGGGTATTTTTTGTTTTTCGTCGAAAATCCCCCTGTAGGGGGACAGGCCCGACATAAAGCTAGTTGCTATCCCTTCGCAGGGCATAGCGTGTCGCTGGGGCCGCCGTCGCGACACGCTAAAGCAACTATTCCTGACCGCAGGAAGGGATAGGCCCAGGGTGGGATGCATCGCTCCCCAATCGCCCATTGATGACCGATGCATCGATCCCCAGTCGCCGATAGCCCCCCCGGTCGATACCCCCCCACTGAGCCGGTGCCCCGCTTCCATTACCCCCCAGAAGGGGAGATGCACTCCAGGCTATTCGATGCGCAGGGCGCCTAGGTTGTGGCAGCAGCGGCTGCCCTCGCTCAGTCGGCCACGAAGGTGTCCAGGCTCTCTGCGCAGCTTTCTCAGGTCGCGGCCTCATGCCCGCGCCGCCTCTTGCAGGGGCACCCCATGGGTGCGCGGCGCACGGGAAGAAGTGGCACGAACGTGATGTACAGGATCCCGAACACGCCCAGCCCAGACCCCCTCGAGTCGTGAAAAAATCACGACGGGAGGTTCGTCATTGTTTTTGGCCTCTGGGGGCCCTTGCCGGCCCTCGGGACCGTCAAAAAACAACTCAGGACGAAGAACTGGTCCGGGGGAAAGGGTCCAGACCGTTGGGGGTCGACGTCATGAAAAATTCATGACGTCGGGGGTCTGGGAGCGCACCGCCTCGCCCCCCAGGTCATCCGTGACCGAAAATTTGCGGCAACCGAGTTGGGGCGCGCCAGAGTTCGGTCGCGACCGCAGGTGGTCGAACTTCGGCAGCGACAAAGACGGCGCGCGTCGGGGTCCAGGCTGCGGCTTCGAGGCCGCCGACCGCTCGCTCGCTCGTCACCGGAATCCGCGACCAGAGGCCGAGTTTCGGTCGCGACTGGTTTGTCCATCGCGTTCGCGGTAGCGGACGATCTGGGCCCCGCGGTCACAGAGAGAGGTCCCGAGGTGGTGCCGGCGCGACCAGAGCGCCCCCGAGCGAGGGCGGAGCGCCGCCACGAGGGGATGGGGGGACAAGACAGAGGACAGCAGGCCCTCGGGGCCACAGAGTGCCCCATCTGTTTACAGCGTGCAGTGGCCTGGCATCGCTCGGACGTGTGCATTTTTTTCTCGGCGAGAACCATCGAGGAGCATCCTTGATCATTAGGCGAAAAAACCACGCACGAAACCGAAACAAAAACACAGGGAATGGACGTCCGAGCGATGGCGAGGTGGGCACACCGGCTGGATTTGGATCGCTGTGACTGGCGGTTGGCGTGCCCGCCCGCAGAGGCGGGGGACACATGTTCCACGGGGTCGCCCAGGCGGCGCGTATACTGCTCGAGGGGACCCCCGGGGGGGCCCGGAGGAGGGGGTGCGAGGAGAAGTGGGAGAGTCCCGGAGGTTCCAGGAGGCCCCCGTAGGCTTGGCATCGCTCGGACGTGCGCATTTTTCCTTCGGCGAGGGCCATCGAGGAGCCTTGATCATTTGGCGAAAAAGCCACGCACGAAACCGAAAAAAACACAGGGAATGGACGTCCGAGCGATGGCCAGTAGGCCAATGTAGGGACCGAACCCAGACCTGTTCGCGTCGTGCCTCGGGGGGCCCCCTTGCCAGGCCCCTTACACAGGAGATGCACAGCCAGAGTCCCGGGGAAGGGGCCGGGACTTCCGGGGACCGCGTGCTGAACATAATCAGGGCATCGCGTGTCTGGGGAGACGCTCACCCTCCGGATCTTCGCCTCCGGCTCCTGTCCACGGTGTTCTTTTTCCTGTGCAAGCTCCTCGGCACTCCCTGCACCCCGGCCCGCCCTCCGGCCGCCTGAGGCCCCGCCCGCCTGTGCCCTGTCTCCCCAATTAGAGCTGTGCGTAGCCCGCCTAGCTTTTATCGGAGGAGGTTCGCTCTCGCCCCGCAGACCAAAAGTGTCTGGGGAGACGCCCTGAAACCTACAGTCGGCCCGCAGAGTAAGGACGAGCAGCTCTCCAGGGTTACCTCTGCAGCCTCTGCATCCTTCCACTTCGGCCCCCGCCCTGGGCTTAAGTCGGGCCTGTCCCCCTACAGGGCGATTTTCGACGAAAAATAAAAAAGTACCCCCAAAATAGTAAAACAACTATTTCAAAAATAGTCTGGGGACTATTTGTTGAATATTTGTTGACCTTTTTGGGGTATTTTTTGTGTGTATTCTTTATTTTTCGTTGGAAATCCCCCTGTAGTGGGACAGGCCCGACTTAACCCTTGGGCAGCTGCCGCTGGCCTTCGCCCCCCCGTGGAGTGCCAGCACACGGCCTCCCGAGGACCCTGCCTGCGCAGCGTCCTCCTGCGTCCTCGGTGGTGCGGGCTGGCTGCATATCTCGGGGGGGGGGGTGGATATCATGGCGTGGGCCATGATATTTCCCCAGATTTCAGGGCGCCTTCTCTTATTTCATTACGTCCCTGGCCCCCCCGCTGGGCCGCGCACGTGCCGCTGGTCATGATTTGCACCCCCCCCTCTTGGATCCCCCCCCTCTTGGCCGCTCCCGAATATCTCACGGGCCTCCGTTCCCCGATCTTCGATCCTCCAGGAGGCCACCTTCCAGGGCGGGCAGCTCTATAGGGGCCACGTGCGAACCCTACCCCCTACCCCCCGCGTTTCTGGAGGGGGAGGGGCAGGGCTCGCACGTGGCCCCCGTAAGTTATGCTCGGCCACCGCCTGGAGGGTCCGTGTTCGGAGCTTCGGCAGGCGGTGGCTGTAGACACCTTCGGGCCCCCGAAGGGCCCGAAAGGTACCGCCCGCCAGGGCACGGGGACGTCGGTGCCCAGGCGGTGGACGTGGATGAATCCCCCCCTCGCACCTCTGCCCTGCGCTTGGCATCGCTCGGACGTGTGCATGTTTCCTGCGGCGAGGGCCATCGAGGAGCATCCCTGATCCTTTGGCGCAAAAGCCACGCGCGAAACCGACAAAAAACACAGGGAATGGACGTCCGAGCGGTGGCGAGTGCGGGTTGCGTGGGCTCCGCTGGCGGTCGTCCCCCTCCCTCCTTCTCCTCGTCTCTCACACCCCCATCCCCAAGAAAGAAAAAAAAAAAAAAAAGGAAAAAAGGACTAAAACCTCCATCCCTCCCTTCCGCTCCGTCCAACCTCCTCCTGGAAATGTTTTTCCTCGTTCGTTCTCCTCCCCCTTGTTCCTCCTCCTCCTCCTCCTCCTCCTCCTCCGTTCTCTCCTCCTCCTCCTCCTCCTCCTCCTCCTCCTCTCTCCTCTTAAGACTTTACTTCTTTTCATGCTCGCATTCCATCGCATTCCTCCTCCTCCTCTCCTCCTCCTCCTCCTCCTCCTCCTCCTCCTCCTCCTCCTCCTCCTCCTCCTCCCCCTCCCCCTCCTCCTCCTCCCCCCCCTCCCGCGGTGCCGCGGCAGGGCGCGCTGCGCACGGCGGCAGAGAGGATCGAGTTCTCGATGACGGCGCCCCGCGCCCGCGGAGCCGCCTTCTTCGACGGGCCCCGCGCCTCGGGCCTCGCCCCTGCCAGGAGGAGGAGGAGGAGGAGGAGGAGGAGGAGGAGGAGGAGGAGGAGGAGGAGGAGGAGGGGGAGGCCTCCGAGGGAGCGAGAAAGAAGCGACCCGTGGCGAGTTTTGAACTTGCCTCCTGCCCTCTGCAGGAGGCAAGTTCAAAACTGGTAGAAACATAGTTCGGGGACGATGATTGGACTGGTTTCGACCATGTTTGAAGCTGTCTTGACTGCTTCCCCACATCCTAAGAAGGGGTTCTTGTTTGCTCTGGCCACCCCGCGCAGTCCTCCCGCCTCAGCCTCTCTCCTCTTCTCCCTTCGCACAGCACCCAATCACTCACACACCATCACCACTCACACGCACTCACCCACTCACTCACCCACTCACACCATCATCACCATCGTCGCCATCACTCACTCACTCATTCACACACTCATCATCATCACTCACTCGCCCACTCATTCACCCACCGCGGAGCCTACCACCCCAGCCCCGCGCCAGGCAGGGCTCTTGCCCGGCAGAGGGTGTCTGTCTGTCTGACTCACTCACCCATCTACCCACCCACTCACTCACTCACTTAATCACACACACACTCATGATCATCATCATCATCATCATCATCATCACCATCATCATCATCATCATCATCAGCATCATCACCATCATCACCATCATCACCATCATCACCATCATCACCATCATCACCATCATCATAATCCTCACTCGCTCGCTCATTCAGTCAATCACTCGCTCACTCATTCACTCACGCCCACATTTGGGGAAGTATCAGGCGGGAGCCTCATCTGTGAGTGAATTGCGAGGAAGTCTCAGGCAGGAGCACCCTCCCTGTGGGGCCCGCAGCTCATGTTACTAATCCGAGCGGGTCATCGGAATCCTGTAAATGTCGTCACTTTGGGGCTCCTGAGGCTTGACTATGGGGGAAGTCTGCGACGGCAGCCACGTCTGCGAGTGAATTGCTAGTAAGTCGCAGGCGGGAGCCCCCCCCCCTGGAGCCCGCAGATCGTGTTATTAATCCGAGCGGGTCATCGGAATCCTGCAAATGTCGTCCCTTTTGGCTTCTTCAAGCCTGTATATCGAGGAAGTATCAGGCGGGAGCCTCGTCTGTGAGTGAGTTGTGAGGAAGTCTCAGGCAGGAGCCCCTGCCAGGGGGAAGGAGAGGTGTACGAGGAGAACAGGCGGGGTGGAGATGAGGAGGGGGAGAAGGAGGTGGAGGAGGAGAGGGGAACGGACGAGGAACAGGAGGAGGAATGAGGAGAGGGAGGAAGAGGAGGAGGCGGGGAGGAGGAGGAGGAGGGAGAGGAGGAGGAGGAGGCGGAAGAGGAAGAGGATAAGCAATGCAAGGAGTAGGACGAGAAGGGACACGAGGAGGAGGAGGAGAAGAAGGAGGAGGAGGAGGACGCAGAGGGCGGAAGGAAGGCCTCCGCCAGTCGAAGAAGAAAAGGGCGAGGGTCAAGCTACATGTGTTCCCATGTGGGGTCTTACCGTCGGAGTAATTTTTATTTGTCTCCCAAATCTTCCTGTAGGAGGACATGCTCGACGTAAGTCTAGGCCGTCAAATTGTGGCGGAAGTGCGCAGATGGGGTCGGATGATGGTGCCGCATCGCCGATGCATTGGCGATGCTCACGAGCGGCGAACATTTCCGTATCCGCGCCCTCGCGGTCTGGATTTCGTGGCGCGGTGCCGCGGATACGCGGTCGCACAGGTACCTTCCGCACGGGGCATCTGCGAGAACACGTTAATTATGTGTTTGCAGGGTCGCGGCCCAGGGGTCTGGCCCGCGAGGCCGCGGATGCGGATATGTGCTTCGCCCACGAGATGCGGCGCGATCCCGAACTCGACTTTCTCCACCCCGGCGTTGCCACTGCATCGTGGCTGCATCGGCGAGGCAGCGCGATCCCCCGTACTCTGGACCCGCCTGCCCCCACCTAGGCGGCCTCCGAGGCAACACCTTCAGGCTTTGTTTCCAAAAAAGAACCTCTATCAATCTCGGCGCCTTTCCTTCATTTCGGCTCCGGGAGGGGGGGTTCGTTTGGGTACAGTCAGGGGCCCTGAAGAAGGAATCCTTTTGGTTGGGGAGGGGCTCCGCGTTCCTTAAGTGTTTCACAGCTTGCCTCAGGTTTCCCTTATGTTTTCGAAAGGAAAACGAAGGTTCACTTATGGAAAAAAGGGGCCTCGTTCCTTATTTAGGGGTTCCTTAGGTCAACGCCCCGACTGTATCAATCTGGGCGCCTTTCCTCCATTTCGGCTTTGGGAGGGGGGGCTCGTTTGGGTACCGCGTCCTTCGAAATAGTGCATCCCGGACGGACAACTGCGTGCGGGGATCGGGTCGAGACTTTTTTTTTTTGTTCGGCGACGCGTCCGTACCCCTCCTGGGCCACCGACGAAGCCGGCGCGCATATTGAGGTGCGTTCGGGAGCGAAGTCGTGCTCGAGCCACGACTCAGGAGCGAACGGAGGACGTACACGTACATGAATCCACGCTGGTTTCGAGAGTACGCATTGCCCGAAAGTTCGTATCACGCGGCCGGTCTCGCAGATCGAGGGGCCGTGTTCATGTACATAGCTGGGCGCGTACGTCCTTTGTGGGCTCCCTAACAACAGCGCCGGCCCAAGCCGATGGCCACGGAGTCCAGGCAGCCCTTCGATGCTTGCGGATTCCCAGCGGAGGGCCAACACATCGAACGCAGCGATGTTCCCGTGACATATCCAGACAGGGAAAACTTACACTCAGATTTTCGTTATTCAGGAGGGGAAAAACACACAGACACAACTAATCGTCGACCCCCCGAAAATATGTGCAAATATGGGAAGTGGGGGAACACCCCAAAAACATGGAAAACAAATATGTGGCATGCTGGGATTTGTGTGTATTTATTTGTGTGTCCTTGGGCCCATTGGAAAACTTACGTTCAGTTGTTTTTTCTTCGTTATTTCGTAGTGAGCACTTGGCGCCGTAGCCGTGGGGCGGCGATGATGGCTGCCGTGGAGCAGGCCCCTCCTTGGAAGGTCTACGACTCCGCGAGGCCCTGTATAAATTCTAAGCTGGAGTCGTAAGGCGGCCGCTGCAGTCCACCCGCGCAATAAGGATGGGAATCCTTCCCAAGGGTACCCTGGCATCCTCTTGGCATCGCTCGGACGTGTGCATTTCTCTTTTGGCGAGGACCATCGAGGAGCATCCCTGACCATTTGGCAAAGAACACGCACGGAACCGACAAAAACAGAGATTGGACGTCCGAGCGATGGCCAGTCCTTGCCCATTCGGCCCATCCTTGGCCACTTGCGCTAGCCGCGCCCCGGGCGAACGGCTTCGAAAATGGCCTCCTCCCAAGGCCCCTGCGTCCTTATCGTGCGTCCTCATTTCTACGGGTCGACACTGGTGGTGACCCCCTTTGGTACTGCCTGGGCTCTTTCCGCGTTCTCGAAGTTCGAGGGCCCAGACTCGTGGACGCTCTCGGCCCTGTCTGAACCTCGGAGCGCCTCCGTAGACCTCTGGAGATCGTCTCCCCCTCCTCCTCCTCCCCTTCCTCCTCCTCCTCCTCCACCTTCTCCTCATCCTCCTCCTTCTCCCTCCCCATCCTCTTCTTTCCCTCCTTTCTCCTCCCTCCCTCCTCCCTCCTCCCTCCTCCCACCTCCCTCATCCCTCCTCCCTCCTCCTCCTCCTCCTCCTCCTCCTCCTCCTTCCCCTTCCCCTTCTCCTCGTCCTCATTATCTTCCTCCTCCTCGATTCCTTTTACTTATACATAGTTCTTCCTTGTCGCGCCCCGAGGCCGGTCGAAAGGGCGGGCCGGGCGTGTTACTTGAAATTTCCTCACTATCTATGGCCCTGAAGTTTACAACATGACATTATTTTCACACATGGAGGGCGGGCCGCTTCCAACATGTGGCTCTCGCCTTAGCGCCGCGCACATTCGTCTAAACACATTGCAAGAGCTTCGAGGATTGCGGGCGGGCGGTTTTCAATCCGTGGCTCTCGCCTCGGCACCGCGCACATTTTTGTGTTGACTTTGCAAGAATTTCACGGGTTGAGGGTGGTTCGTTTTGAACATGTGGTTCTCACTTTGGCGCCGTGCACGTTCGTCTTAACAATTTGCAGGCTTTCCACGGACTGAGGGCGGTTTGTTTTAAACATGTGGCTATCACCTTAGCGCCACGCACATTCGTTTTTTAAATCTTTTGCAAGAGTTTCACGGAGTCCAATGGTCTTCGTGCAGACATGGTGTTATGGAATGATCCAGGATTGTGACGATGCAGCGGTTACGTTGACTCGCGTTGTTAAAAGTCCCAGGGATGGTGTTCTGGCACTGTTCAGGATCGCCAAGACGCAACAGTCAGGTTGATCCGTGGCGTTAGAGTCCCGAGACAGTTTTTTTGGCATGCTTCAGGGTCTTCAAACGGTTGTCTCTCAACGAGGCAGGTCCCTCAGTGGAAATTCACCCTTGTAGGGGCTTTTGGAACTGGTATTTGGAGGAAGCGTCTATTCTAACATCGTTGATGAGTCTTGGGTTTATACTGGTCCTCCTCCTCATCATCCTCTTCGTTTCCCCTCGTCGGACCCTCGGGAAAAGATTACACGCTTTGCGACCGCATCCAGCAACACACGGAGGTATCATATCATTTCGGACGGTGTCCTCCTCCTCCCTCCCTCCGCCTTGTTCTCTTCCTTATCCTGCTCTGCTGCCTCTTCCTTATTGTATGGTCAGGTGGCGTCTATTGCTGCATCAGCAGGAGGAAGACAACTATGATCATGCTATATCTGTTTTTCAAATATTGGAGAACTGGTTGCGACCAGGAGGAAACTACGCCACGCTTTCGTACTCCTCCTTGTCCTCCTCCGAGACCGGGTCCTTGTGTTATGCCTGCCAGTGCCGACCCTCGTTTGAAGTCGAGATCCATTCTTGCACGCAGCCAGTTCTTCTCGCCCCTCATCCTCGTCCACCATCTTTCGCCTTCTATCCGCTTCGTGCACCTCCTCCGCCCTCCTCTTGCCCCTCATCATGCTCACGCTCATCCGCAATATCATCCTCGCGCTCAGCATTAGGAGAGAGGAAACAGGAGGAGGAGGAGGAGGAGGAGGAGGAGGAGGAGGAGGGAGGAGGAGGAGGAGGGAGGATGGAGGAGGACTGACGACAGGACACCGAGGGCGCTCCCCCAGACGTCCCACGGGAAACGGGCCCGCCAGCAGCGACTCCCACGGAGCTCCTCCTCCTCCTCCTCCTCCTGCTCCTCCTCCTCCTCCTCCTCCCTCCCCCCTCCTCGTCCTCCTCCTCCTCCTCCTCCTATTATTCCTCCTCCTCCTCCTCCTCCTCCTCCTCCTCACCGAGACGACTGGGCACCTCAGAGGGCTCACGCATCGAGGACAAACGGGCTCTTATCAAAGAAGCAGAAGCCACACGATTACCAGCCTCGAACGTATCCCCATCCCTAAGATTGGCACGCCAAGAGGCGATGACGACCTCGGGGATCCGCCCTCAAAAAGTAAAGGGAATCCCCAAGATTGGCATCGTGATGAGGAGGTGCCCAGCATAGGGATAGGGATATGTTCCAGGCTGGTAAACATGAACATACACTTTTGGCGCTCCGCGCGGATTTCTCGTGTCTGCGCTGGGGCCCCCCTGGCGGCGCCTCCGGCGCCGCCACTGGCGCGCTCCGAGCGCGCCAGGGAGGGGGCGTCCAGCGCAGACTCGAGAACTCCGCGTGCAGCGCCACAAGTTTAGGTTCGTGTGGCTTTCCTTTCTGCTGCTTTGGAGTTTTTCGAGTCAGGATTTTTTTGTTCGTACACGTCTGCGCTGTAGTCGGCGGGCGCCTCGCGGGCGCCTCGCGGGCGCCTCGCGGGCGGCTCGCGGGCGCCCCGCGTGCGGCCGCGGGCGCCTCGCGGGCGCCCCGTGCGCCACCGCGGGCGCGGCGAGGCTGCGCCCGGTGGGCGCCCCGCGGGCGCCTCGTGGGCGCCTCGGTGTGCGCTGGCGGCGCGCGTCCGTTCTGCCCGGTGGGCGCCCTGTGGGCGGCCCGTGCTCCTCCTCCTCCTCCTCCTCCTCCTCCTCCGTCCTCCACCACCTCCCTCCTCCTCCTCCTCCTCCTCCTACCTCCTCCTCCTCCTCCTCCTCTCCTCCTCCTCCTCCTCCCCTCCTCCCCGCATCCTCCTCTCCTCTCTCTCTCCTCCTCCTCTCCTCCTCCTTTCCTCCTCCTGCCCCCTCATCCTCTCCTCCTCCTCCTCCTCCTCCTCCTCCTCCTCCTCCTCCCTCCTCTCCTCCTCCTCGCTCCTCTCCCTCCTCCCCCTCTCGCTCCCCTGCCTCCTCCTCCTCTCCTTCCTCATCCTCCTCCTCCTCCTCCTCCTCCTCCTCCTCCTCCCCCTCCTCCTCCTCCACCACCTCCCCCTCGTTCTCTCCTCTCCTCCTCCTCCTCGCTCGCCTCTTCCTCTCCTCCTCCTCGCTCCTCCTCCTCCTCCTCCTCCTCCCTCCTTCTCCTCCTCCTCCTCCTCCCTTCTTCGACGTTCTCCTCCCTCGTGGGGGGGGGAACGTCGAAGATGAAAAAACAGAGGGAGCCCGTACCCCCCCCCCCCCTCCGACCCGAGAGTCGGGTCAAAGTCGGGTCTTCGGGTCGGGTTGGGGCGGTCCTGGCAGGTCGTGCGGGTGTGGCTGGATCTGGCGAGGTGGCGCCCGGTCGGCGGCCCTGGGCGCCTCGGGGGCGTTGGCTGCGTGCGCGCCGGTCTCACCTTGCAGGCGGCCGTGGGCGCTTCGTGGGCGCACACGTCCTCCGGGTGTGTGTGGCCGGGGCGGCGAGGTGTCGCCCGGCCAGCGGCCGTGGGCGCTTCGTGGGCGCCCCGTGGCCCCACGAAGGGCCCCGGCCCGCCCGCGCCGACCCTCAAGGGTCCCGCTGCGGCGGACTTGCGCGCTTCGCTTCGCTTCGCTTCGTGGGCGCCGGCTGGCTGTGGCGAGGTGCCGCCCATGGTGGGCGCCTCGTGGGCGCCTCGCGGACGCCACACGTCGTATGCCGCACGGCTGGCTTCACAGAGGTTGCACCGCGCAGCTTGCGCCGCGACGTGGCGGTGTCCTGCGCGGGCTTCGTGCTGGACGTCGAGGGCTGAGTGTTCTCAGGGACTACTATCGAGATAATAGTCTGGTAGGCTCCCGCGGGAGCCCACGTAACGTGCGGTCGAGAGCATCGATCTCGGCTTTGTGGTCAGCGCGACACAAGAACCCTCATGCCACATAGAAGATTGCACTGCCTGTGTGGCACAACATGGCTTGCACCACGTAGCCAGTGCCAGAGCGCTCTCGGCACTCAGCTTGCACCGCATAGCTTGCGCCGCATACTTTGCGCGACACAGCTCGCAGCAGACAGCTAGCACAACCTAGCTTGCACCACATATCTCACACAGTTCACACCACATGCAAAGTACCGCATAGATGGCACCGAATGGTTGATGCACCCCCAATGCCCAGTGCAATAGCTGACTTTGCGGGTCCCACTCTGGCAAACATTGTTACATGTTGCCATCAACGGCCGAACGATCAAGGGAGGATGACGGGGGATAATCGAGGAGGAACGCGGAGAGACTGAGAGGGGGAAGGGCAGAAGGGAGGGCGGAAAACGAGGAGGAGTTGGCCGCCTGCCTTAACCAGGAGGAGGAAGGAGGAATGAGGAAGGACGAGGACGAGGACAAGGACGAACAGGGGACAAAAGGAGGGGAAGGTATGCTCAGTCGGTAATCATCCGCCAAAATTGAAACGATCAGAGAAGATTAAGCTGGCCCCTGCGCGAAGACGACGCGCACACATCGAGAAGTGCACGCAGCTGTTCAAGCTGCCGCGCAGCAGGACGACGACTTGGAGGTGTATACGGCGCGCGCCCGCGCCCCCCGCCCCGGCCTCTGGGCTGGCGAGGTGCGCGGCGTGGACTTCGTCCAGCTCTCCTCGTACCCCTCGCTGTGCTCGGAGGTGAAGGGCAAGATCCGGGAGGCGGCGGCCTCCTCCCCCGAGGGTCCGCTCGCGGCGCGGCGCCCTTCGGCCCTTCTTCGGGGGCCACCAAAGCTGGTGACCGCACCGCGCAGTGAGCCAGCGGGGATTCGGGGTCACAGCGCGGTTCTGGGACGCGGGTCTTTCTCCGAGGATGTGTCGAGCCCGGGCCGCGCGGCGAGGTCGCTGGGGATGCCGAGGTCACCACGCGGTCCGTCGCCAAACGATTTTGGGCCTCCCGACTCTTGGGTCAGTCTTCCGGGCCTGTTTGGGGGCCTTCGGGCGTCTTCGGCGCTCTGTGGCTCGAGAAGGTGGGACTGCTGAAAGGTCATTGCGCATGTATTTCGTCAGCTGCTGTGGTGGCCTGCTGGGCCAGCCTGCGGGGCCTGCAGGGGTGGCGCAGAGGACTTCAAGAGAGCCCCAGGGCAGACCTGGGGCGAATCTTTGGCTCGTGCCAGAAGCCTGCGTTCCCAACCTCGGGGGCGCGCCTCGGGGGGGAAACGAGGTTGGCGGGCCTCTTCAGAAGGCTCGGAACCCCCCCGGCCCCCCGAGAAGTCTTCCATAGGCCTGCCCCGAAGACACGCGGTGGTTGAGTTCTCAGCCGCGTCTTTTCGTCGGCCTGACACTCGTGCTGATTGTTGGGCCGACAGGATAACAGCATATAATCCTCGTAGCAGAATCCCCGACGACGCAGGACGCTTCTCAGAAGGCGCGAGGGGGCCTCCGAGAAGTCCCGCCGCCTTCTGCGAAGGCCTTCTACTTTTCGCTTCCCCCCCCCTCGCCGCCCGCCGAACGGAGCCTCGGCCGAGCTCGTCCGCCGGGGTCCCGCGGGCGTACGCGCCCGAAGCCGATCGTTCGAGCCGAACGTCAGCGCGCGAGGCTTGCCGCAGTGGATCGGGCGGGTGGGTTCGGGAGCATCCAGGAGCCACAGGCCCGCCCCCTCCTCCGCCCCCTCCTCCTCCTCCTCCTCCTCCGCCTGCTCCTCCTCCTGCTCCCCCTCCTCCTCCTCCGCCTCCCCCTCCGCCTGCTCCTCCTCCTGCTCCTCCACCTCCTGCTCCCGCGTCCTTTCTCCTCCTCTCTCTCCTCCTCCTCCTCCTCCCTCCTCCTGCTCCCCCTCCTCCTCCTCTCCTCCTCCTCCTCCTACTCCTCCTCCTCCTCCTCCTCCTCCTCCTAGGCCGCCTCCTCCTCCTCCTCCTCCTCCTCCTACCTCCTCCTCTGCGCTCCCTCTCCTCCTCCTCCTCCTCCTCCTCCTCCTGCCTTCTCCTCCTCCTCCTCATGGCTCCCCCCTCTCGCCCCTCCTCCTCCTCCTCCTCCTCCTCCTCCTCCTCCTCCTCCTCCTCCTCCTCCTGCTCCTCCTGCTCCTCCGCCTCCTCCTCCTGCCCCGTCCGCTCGTCGCCGACGGCCCTGGCAGCGAGGCCTGGGGGGGCGCAGCCCGCGCGGGAGAGAGCCTCGGAGGCCCGCGGGGGACCCCAGCGCCCGCGGTTCCCTGCCCCTTCGGGGGCTCAAGGGGCGGGGGTCGGTGCCAACATTCAGTCGGGCCTGTCCCTCTGCAGTGATCAAAAAATTGCCAGGGGACGATGTTCCGAGTATTTTTGTCTATTATGTGACACATGTTGATCGACATTTTTTCATTTTTCATCCAACATCCGCCTGTAGGAGGACATGCCCGACCTAATGTTAACGGGGGTCCGTCACATCGCCAAACATTGCGGAACTTCTGCAGAGTCAGGGCTGCGCTGACCCAGGTTCGGGCACGGGATCCTGCAGGATCCTGCAGAGCCTGACCGACCCGGGTCTGGATTGACCCGGGTCAGTAGATCCCCGAGCTTTCCTTCCCCCCCACCCCGTCCCGAGGGCCTCGGGAGGCCTCTGGAGAGGTCTTCAGGCAGACTCCTCAGACCCCCTCGAGTTATGAGCAACATCGCGACGGGAGGCGTTTCGCTGTTTTCAGCCTCTGGGGGCCCTCGCCGGCCCTCGGGACCGTCAAAAACGACTCAGGACGAAAAACTGGCCCCAGGATATGGGTCGGGACCTGTGAGTGCCGACGTCGAGAAAAAGTCGTGACTTCCGGGGTCTGGGTCCAGAGGCTTCCACGCGTGGCCCGAGAGAGGCAGGGCCGAGCACGTCGCACGAGGTCTCCGGAGAGGCTCCATGGGCTCCCTGGGCGGACTCCAGAGGGGCCTCCAGAGGCTCTAACGAGGCCCGGGGAGGGGCAAGCGTCCGAGCACGTCGCTCGGGGGCGGAAAAGAGGGGGGTGATGACTGGGGGGGGTGGATATCATGGCAGGGGCCATGATATTTCCCCAGATTTTATGTGGCGCCTCTTCTCATTTCATTACGTCCCTGGCCCCCCCGCTGGGCCGCGTACATGCCGCCGGTCATGATTTGCCCCCCCCCGTTGGACACCCCCCTCTTGGCCGCTCCCGAGTCGCACGAGGTCTCCCGAGAAGACCCCAGGCGGACTCCAGAGTCGGGGATTCGTAGAGGGAGGGTCATCCTGAGGTGAGGCTGGAGAACGGGCCCAGCTGGATGCTGCTGTTGAACGCGCTTCCTTCCAGGGGCCGACGGTGCAACAAAAATACGACATCGCAAAGCATCACGCCCGGAGCCCGGAACATCATCTGTCTGCGTCATTTTTCGAGCCGGATCGATCTGTGAGGGTCCCGGGCCCCGAAAATTCATCGAAAACGCCCGGTGTGAAAAATTTGCAACGCCAGGATCTCAGGGTTTGCCCCGACCCCACTTGTCCCTCCCCGACAGGCTTCCAGAGGTTTCCGCGAGGCCCAGGGGAGGGGCAAGCGTTATGGCACGCGTCGCGCGTCTGAGAGCGCCTTCCTCCGCCCCCTTCCCAGGGGACGGGGAGGGCGCCCTCCTCCCTCCTCCTCCTGCTCCTCCTCCTCCTCCTGCGGATCCTTTTCTGAGCGTGCTCACCGATCCCAGCTTTATAATGAATGCGAGGGCCCCAAGGCCTTTGAGGGCAACCCTCAGAGGAAATGGAGGCGGAACAATTTCGCGGAGGGGCGGCACCCCAGTGAGGGCCGCAAGCACCCCATCCCCCTCCCTAGGCGCATGTTGGTCTCTGACCCCGCTGTGGAGTGGCTTGGGCTGGCCTCGTGAATTCGGTTCAATTCGTTTTGTTCTTAATATCTTTGTGCGGGGTCTGGTGAATGGATCGGCCCCGTGTCCAGGTCAGCTTCCTGGCCTGTCTCTGCTCCACAGGCCCGTCGTCGGGCGTGTGCGAGGGGACATGTTTGGGCCTGCCCTTTCGTGTTCCCCACTCTGTCTGTGAGAGATTGTGCGTTCTCACCTTTTCCCAATCGTCTGCTCTCTGCCCCGTATCCCGACTCGGCGCGTCCCCTCATGCGCTCGCTACTCCTCCTCCTCCTCCTCCTCCTCCTCCTCCTCCTCCTCCTCCTCCTCCTCCTCCTCCTCCTCCTCCTCCTCCTCCTTCTGCTCCTCCTTTTCCTCCTCCTCCTCCTCCTCCTCCTTCTGCTCCTCCTTTTCCTCCTCCTCCTCCTCTTCCTCCTCCTCCTCCTCCTCCTCCTCCTCCTCCTCCTCCTCCTCCTCCTCCTCCCCCTCCTCCTCCCCCCCACCCGTCCTGAGGGCCTCGGGAGGTCTCCAGAGAGGTCCCCATGCGGCCTCCCAGAGTCGTCGAGAACAAGAGAACCCCGAACCCTGATTCGGCCACGCGCAGAGGGGGGTAGGGGGAGGGGGGACGGCATCTTAGAAGCGCCCCCCTTCTTAGAAGGCGCGGACCCCCCCTCTAAGAAGCTCGTGGTTGCTTCTTAGGAGCTGTTCCTGGCGTGCTTCTAAGAAGCAGGTGGCTTGCTGCTTCTAAGAAGCGGTGTTTTGCTTCTACGAGGCAGTTCCGTGCTTCTAAGAAACGGCGCGCCCCTGGCTTCTTAGAATGGTGGCCAGCGCCTTCTAGAGGAGGCAGCCGCTTTCTAAGAAGCCTTCCCTCCCTCTCTCTACCCCCTTGCGCGCGCCGACAGCTCATACCACAGTGAGGACGTGACCTAACTCGATTCCCCGCGCTTGCGTTCATGATCGTACGTCGGGGCGGTCTGGCTCGCGACAATTGCAGACATGGCACCCTGCCCCTAATGTTCTGCGCCTCGGAACGCGCCCTGGATCTCCCGCCCCTGCCCCGCGCCCGGTCCCGGGGACCGTCAAGCCACGGCTCGGGACGAAGTGCCTGCCCTTGGGGAAAGGCCCAGATGAGGAGGAGGAGGAGGAGGAGGAGGAGGAGGAGGATTAGGGAGGTAGGAGGAAGTGAGAAGGGGGAGAGGTTGGAGTGGGATGGGTAGGAGGAGGAGGAGAGATGGAGGAGGAGGAGGAGGATGAGGGGAGGAGGAGGGAGGAGGAGTGGGAGGTCGCAGGAGAGGCCGAGAGGGGCAGTCGTCAGGCTACGCGCATGCGCGTTCCTTCCGAGGTCTCCTCCTCCGCCCGAGACCGTCCGCCTCGGGGACGGGAGGGGCTGGGAGGGCGCCCTCCTCCTCCTTCCTCCTCCTCCTACCTCCTCCTCCTCTTCCTCCCTCCTCCCTTCCCCTCCTCCTTCCTTTTGTCTCCTGCTGCTCGTCCTCCTCCCCTCCCCCTCCTCCTCCCTCTCCCTCCTCCTCCTCCTCCTCCTCCTTCCTCCTCCTCCTCCTCCTCCTCCTCCTCCTCCTTCCCCCTTCTACTCGTCCTCCTCCCCTCCCCCCTCCCTCCTCCTCCCTCTACCCCGCTTCCTGGCCGTCCGAGAAGCTCGGAGGCGGGCGGCTAGGTCCTCCGAGAAGCTCGGACGGGAGCTCGCAGGACTTGCTCCTCCTCCTCCTCCTCGCTCCTCCTCCTCCTCCTCCTTCCCTCCTCCCTCCTGCCTCATCCTCCCTCTCCTCCTCCTCCTCCCTCCTCCTCCTCCTCCTCCTCCTCCTCCCTCAGCCTCGCTCCTCCTCCTCCTCCTCCTCCTCCTCCTCCTCCTCCTCCTCCTCCTCCTCACTCTCCTCCTCCTCCTCCTCCTCCCCCTCC